CGCGGGACATGGCGGAGGATAAAGAGTCTGCAAGTAAGTTAAACTCAACAAACTCTGCGATTTAACACAAATAAACAATAATCAACATGTAATCTACTGGGTTAAACTCGGAGATCGGACACTGTTAGAGAATCAGACTGTACCTCACCAGCCTCTCGCTCGAATTGTCCGTTCCACCTTAAAAGGTGCAGCAGTTACATTAGGGAAAATCTGTAGGAAGCTGTAACTGCTGCACCATTTAAGGTGGAACGGGACCATTTAAACAAGCTGTAACTGTTGCACCATTTAAGGTGGAACGGGACAGTTTAAACAAGCTGTAACTGTTACGCCATTTAAGGTGGAACGGGGCAATTTAAACAAGCTGTAACTGTTGCACCATTTAAGATGGAACGGGGCAGTGTAAACAAGCTGTGACTGTTACGCCATTTAAGGTGGAACGGGGCAATTTAAACAAGCTGTAACTGTTACGCCATTTAAGGTGGAACGGGGCAATTTAAACAAGCTGTAACTGTTGCACCATTTAAGATGGAACGGGGCAGTGTAAACAAGCTGTGACTGTTGCACTATTTAAGGTGGAACGGGGCAAGTTAAACAAGCTGTAACTGTTGCACCATTTAAGATGGAACGTGGCAATGTAAACAAGCTGTGACTGTTGCACTATTTAAGGTGGAACGGGGCAATTCGACCAAGAATCTGACTTCTCTAAACATAAACCGTGTTTAAACCATAAATACTGTTTATTTATTAGTTAATGTCACTTTTAAATCGTTTCCTTCACACAGTGTTGTCTGTTTGTTATTTGGTTAGTTATGAAGTTACTGTGTTCCAAATGGACTTTAATGATCTTTAGAGGTTCTAAACACTAGAACAGTAAAGCTGAATCTGGCTGTAAAAGTGGATTCAGTGTCTAAAATATTTTACATTATTTTGAGGTTTATTTCAAAGATTTTTAAACATCCTGCACACATAAAAAGATGGTTCCTCAAGGGTTCTTTAGAAAAGGGAATGCATCTATTTAGAGCCAGGAGTTCAATATAGAACCATTTGCATGCTTAAATGGTTCTTTGCAGCGTGAAATGGTTTTTCAGATTGAGAATGTGTTATAAATGGTTCTATACAGCACCAAAAATGGTTCTGCTACTGTAACGAAGTTAAGCTTATGACAATAAAAGAACCATTTTTGGTGCTGTATAGAACCATTTTCAAAAAGGAATCTGAAGAACAGTTTGACCATGCAGAGGACCATTTAAGCAATGCAAATGATTGTATATAGAACTTATTGTTCTAAATAGAACTAAACCCTGTGTGCAGTGTTCTAGATTTAGACAGCAGCAGGGTTTACCTGGCGGAGGTGAGGCAGGTGAGTGTGAGGAGCTCCTGTGAGAGTTTGAGGTTGAGAAGGATGAAGAGTGAAGAACATGTTTCTGCTCCTCAGAATGAGCCGACTGCAGAGATCAGACTGTAATATCAGACTGAAAGATGATCATGACTCTCTAATTTCTCTAAAATCGTCACGTTTAACCTGATGATGTTCTGTGTGTTCGCTCTGCAGAGGCGACCATGTCTGAGCTCCACAGGAGGATCAGCAGCGCGTTTGATGTTTTTGATCATGAGTCCAATCACACGGTGGACGTCAGGTGAGGTTTCTACAGGGGGGGTCTGAAAGTCTGAGACCACCAGTGAAGATGCCTCTGTTTTGCATCAAGTCAGTTCAGAGTCGCCTGAACACGAGCTTCACTGGGAGATGGAGGAGACAAACACACACACACACACACACACACACTTTATACACACACACACACTTTATACACACACACACACACACACACACACACTTTATACACACACACACACTTTATACACACACAAACACACACACACACTTTATACACACACAGACACACAAACACTTTATACACACACACACACTTTATACACACACAAACACACACACACACTTTATACACACACAAACACACACACACACTTTATACACACACACACACACAAACACTTTATACACACCCACACACACACACACACACACAAACACAAACACTTTATACACACACACACACACACACTCACACACACACAAACACAAACACTTTATACACACACACACTCACACACACACACACAAACACTTTATACACACACACAAACACACACACACACTTTATACACACACAGACACACAAACACTTTATACACACACACACACACAAACACACACGCACACACTTTATACACACACACACACACACTTTATACACACACACAAACACACACACACACTTTATACACACACAGACACACAAACACTTTATACACACACACACACAAACACACACACACACTTTATACACACCCACACACACACACACACACACAAACACAAACACTTTATACACACTCACACACACACACACACAAACACTTTATACACACACACACACACAAACACTTTATACACACTCACACACACACACACACAAACACTTTATACACACACACACACACACACACAAACACTTTATACACACACACACACACAAACACTTTATACACTCTCACACACACACACACACACACACACACTTTATACACACACACACTAACCCATTTATATACATATATACACAATCTGGGTTTTTAGTCTTAAGATCTTTCAGGTCAAGATGAGATTTTTCACAAATTCATATTATAGAAGCAAATCTGATCTTAATTTAGGAATCTGATCTTACAGCATCTTATCTCCAGTTAGGAAATCTTAACCTACTCAATCAGAGTCAACAATCAGCTGATATGTTTGTTTCCTAGCAACCGACCATAAACACACAGCTAAAATGTAAACATCATCAAAATAATGTTAAAATGTGAGTTAAGCTGCTGTTACTGATGTAAAAAAGGCCAAACAGAACTAAAGCGTGATAAACTGTGAGTAGTGAATGCTGTGAGAGCGCCCCCTGCTGTTTATCAGAGCGTCGCCGCTCCCCAGTTTCAGTCTCCATTTCCCAAACGCTTTAGCCGAGCGCGCTAACGTTACTCCTCCTAATAAACAGACACACGTTCAGCTCCGTCTCCTCATTATTCACCACCATCACTGTAATATTTCATCATCAACATTAACACACGAAGGTGATCAGAGGGGCGGTGGAGATCGAGTCTGCAGCGTCTGAGATCTTTAAAACGCAGAGTTAGAAAAGAAAATCATCTCACAGTGAAAGCAGCGTTTTACAGTCTAACAGTGGAGAGATTGCAGGGCGTTACGCTCCTCTCCATCCACACAGCGCTGTTTACTGTAGTCTTCGGGAGACGTTCACTGTCTGATGTTTGAAGCTCTGTAGATCAGTGGAGAAACGCCTTCAGAGAGCCGGAGATACAGACCCCGAAATCTTCAGCCTCCTCACCTGCTGCCTCTCTGAGGCGTCCGGGTTCTGAGTGTCATAGTTACGTGATCAGCGACTCGTCAGCATCTAGATTAAAGTGACGTCACTGAGCAGTAAAGTGAACCGTCTGTGCAGCACCTGCTGTAAAGTGTTTCATGCTCTTCATTTTCCTCTTCTGTTTTATTATTTTCAGTTCTGTGTTTTCTATGTTTGTCATGTTGCTGCTGGACACTAACTTCCCTTTAGGATTAATAAAGTCTGATCTTAAGACTAAAAACAGTCTGAGCAACTTGCTCACCATCACAAATTTGCATAAATTTGAATAGTGATCTCTAAATATTGCAGATTTTTTAATATTTCTTTATTTTATTTCTCATAAACTTTCTTTTTTACATTTTTCATCATTCTAAAATGTTGTTTATTTCCAGATTTAATTGAAATATTAGACTTCTGCTCCTCACTGTGTGTAAAGTCGTGACTCAGAGTTCTAGATAGCGCTCAGCGGGGTCAGTTATGTGATTATAATCAGATTATCCACAGTCATTTCATTCAGGTTCTCTTGTTTTTACAGAGAAATCGGCACCATCATCCGCTCGCTGGGCTGCTTCCCCACTGAGGCTCAGCTTCATGATGTAATCGCTGAGGTCAGAGTGCTGATTTGCATATCTAAGAGGTTTTATATTGAACTTTATCTGCTGTAAAGGTTTTATATTGAACTTTATCTGCTGTAGTGAGTTTGGTTTTCTAATGAACGGTGCCGTCGCTGCTGGTACAGATCGAGGAGGAGGAGCCAACAGGGTTCATACGCTTCGAGAGGTTCCTCCCCACCATGAGCAGAATCCTGATGGAGCACAGGTAACATCTCACAGCACCGCAGAACTCCTGGTTCCGTGGTCGTTAACGCTGGTTCTGAAGATCTACCTTTCAGCCACAGTCTGACGCTCCAGCTGATTAACTTCCTCAGACGTCCCACCGTACAGAGAACCGTATAGACAGCAGATCTAAATATTTAGTACAGTTATTTTGAGCTACACTGCTGATTCCTGACACAAGGTTCTCTCACGGATCTGTTATTTAGTCAGTCAGTAGTTTAATCTCTGTGTTCAGTCAGTGTGAGAACTTTTACTCTCTGGTCTTCCTGCAGGTTTCGGCCGGTTCCTGAGGACCTGCTGCTCCAGGCCTTCGAGGTGAGACTCGCTCACTTCAGCACACAGAGTTTACAGTAACACTGCGAGCTCAATAACACTGCGAGCACAGACACACTGTACAGTCACACTGCAAACACAGTCACACTGTGAGTGCAGCGACACTGCAAACAGTCACACTGTCAACAGTAACACTGCGTATAGTCACTGCAAGCACAATCACACTGCAAGCTTAATCATATCATGAGCACAGTCACGCCTGCGATCAGTCACACTGCAAACACAGTAACACTGCAAGCATAGTCAACGCTACGAGCACTGTGAGCACAGACACATGAGTACAGTCACGCTGCGAGCACAGACCCACTGTGAACACAGACACACTGCGAACACAGACACACTGCGAACACAGACACTGCGAACACAGACACACTGCGAGCACAGACACACTGCGAGCACAGAC